GACTTAAAGTTTTTAAAAAATGATTAGAGAAAGTATAAAATCCTTATAAATGTCCATTTGTTTCCAGATGTCTGTGTCTTGTGTTGGTGGAGACTTGAATCTTGTCTCCTGGTAGAATCAAGTCTGGACAGGCTGTGTAGGAGAGGAGCGTGAAGTCTGGTGTGCGGGTGTAGAGGGGGGCTTAATATGTTTGCGCATGGAATCTTGTGTAAGCATGTCTGTTTATGGGTGTGTTCTGCAATTACAGGTTACCCTCTTTGCCTCTGTCTGTGTCTGTGTTATCTCGGTCGGTGTGACATTCTCCCAGTCTCATTCTTTTCGTCCTTGTAGAGTTATCACAGTTTGTACGCCAACGTTTGCTCTTTTGCTTTGCCCTCCTCCTCCGCAGGTCCGTCACAAGGGCTCTCGGCAAGTTTACGCCATGAAACAGCTCAACAAGTTTGAAATGATCAAGCGCTCAGACTCTGCCTTCTTCTGGGAGGAGAGACACATCATGGCATTTTCAAACAGCCCCTGGGTCGTCCAGGTCAGACCCAGCCTCCTTCCTCAGTGGAGTTTTGCTAGATGTTTGACCTCGTTGAAAACACATACCATATAATCATTAACATCTCGGGGGTGAGAAATATAATTATAACTATTCAAATACTAAGTTGGATCCCCCAGTCTGCTTGAATTATGTCATGCATTTTTGATTTGATTTGATTTATTCTTTCAAGCATGTAAAGACAGTTGATATGTCAACACACATAATTTTACACATATCCAACAAATGCTAATCCAATATCAATTTGCTTATACCTAGTACATGCTTGAATGGAGTAGGAAGAAGTCAGACTTATCCAGTCCTACCCCATGACATGAATTTCGAAAGGCTCCCTGGCATTTGGGATTTCTCATTAAATACCTGAATGTATAGCACGCATACAAATACAACAATCTATTCTAGCATCTAATCAGTGAATGGCTTTGTGTTGTCCTGTGATAAACACTATTAACATTGCCTCTGGAGTAGAACTTTGAATCACATGAGGTGACTCTGCTTACTGTTTCCCAGCTGTGCTGTGCTTTCCAAGATGACCGGCACCTCTACATGGTGATGGAGTTCATGCCTGGAGGTGACCTGGTCACACTCACCATGAACTACGACATACCGGAAAAGTGGGCTCGCTTCTATACTGCTGAGGTAGTTCTGGCGCTGGATGCCATCCACTCCATGGGCTTCATCCATCGTGACATTAAGCCTGACAACATGTTGCTAGACCAAAACGGACACCTCAAACTGGCTGACTTTGGCACATGCATGAAGATGGACTCGGTTGGTTGCGATTTTGGTCGTGTTGTTTCAGTTGGTTTTCAGATGTCATGAACCTGTTATGGACCTAAGACCATTTATGTCATAACAAATGAATACAGCTGAGGAATCACTTTAATTGAGAGCGAACTGACATTTCCTGAACTGTCTCAAGTCAGGTTTTCTTTTTTGGGGGGCCCTAGTGCACCACCAAGTGTGTAGATTGTGAAGTGAAGCTCAGAGCAGATATTCTTTTGTACAAAAACATGCTCAGAACAGTTTAGTAGAATTAGAGCATTCATACTGATTCATTTAGTGTAAATACCAGCATTAGTTAAATGATTTGTTCTCCTGGCTGTCTGAGTATCTGAAAATGTTGAACATTTTTTATTTCTTACAGGAAGTGTTAGGGACAAGCAGGGATCTTTACAGATAGAACATATCACACTGTGTTTTTAACTTAGTCTCATCATTGGAAATATGGCCTATGTACATTCTGCTGTCTCCCCAAACTGTACTAACCCTTTACTACTGCTTCATTGTCACTGCTGTTCCATTCTTGCTTTCACTCTGTAATAAATCATGCATATTTTTTGTATGCAGAAGGGCATGGTGCACTGTGACACAGCTGTAGGCACACCAGACTACATCTCCCCTGAGGTGCTCCAGTCCCAGGGTGGTGACGGTTTCTACGGCCGGGAGTGTGACTGGTGGGCTGTAGGAGTATTTATCTATGAGTTGCTGGTTGGTGAGTGATTTGCTTTTTGTTTTTATATTAACCACATACAATGAAACACTAAGTATGTCAACTCCCGTCTTAGATGTTGGAGTGAAAATGTCAGAACTGAGTCGTCTGTAGTTTAATCAGCAACAACAGAGATATGTTATGTTCACAACGGTTTGCTTCAAATCAAACACATTTCCCCTGGAGTTAAACACTAAAATATAATGTTTTTTTCTGTTCCTGGATCAGTCCTTTGAAGGTTTAACTTCTCGTCCTTCTCGTAGGTGAAACTCCCTTTTATGCTGAGTCCTTGGTCGGAACATATGGGAAGATCATGAACCACAAAAGCTCCCTTGTCTTCCCAGATGATGTAGAGATGTCTCAGGATGCCAAGGACCTCATCTGTGCCTTTCTTACAGACAGGTTTGCACAAGGGACTCTAAATCATAAAAATCAATGCACGTTTTGTGCTTCAGCAAGAAATCTGAGTATTTCACAATGTCAGGTTGCGGGCAGTTGCATACATGCTCACCCTTGCCATTTCTACTTTACTACTGCTCTATTAATAGTCGGACTAACAAAATGGCACTTGGACTGTAGAACAGAACATAATTCAGCATTATCCATTTTGACAAAAGAGTATCTAAAAAGACCTGGCTATAAAGACAAAATGTTGAGTCACCATTAACCTAACGTCTCTAAATTCAAAAGGCATGGTAGGCTTCCATTTCAGAAAAATAAAATCTTAAATGAACAGTGTGAGGGATGTGGCAAAGATTAGATTTAGCAAAGTTAGCATAGTTAGCCATTTTGTTCAGTGGAGCTGGAGTAGATTCACAACAGGTTCTAGATCAGGGAAGCAGATCATTTATTCAAGAAAACAGTTATAAATACTTTAAGGAAAAGGCTGACAGTGTATGTTGTTATGTTTCCCATTAAAAAAAACAAAACTAAATCAACATTTTATTTCCTCAGCCTGCCAGAGACTTTTAGTCCCAGTCCCAGTGGTTCCTACTGAAAACAAAAATATTTTCCATTGAGTTTATTTAAAGGCGAAACATTTCCCTCAAACATCTGGGCGCTGTAGCGTTTATCAGACATTTTTCAAACTGGAACATGAAGTTCCTTGGTTGGGGACTGTTTTCACCCTGGGGATTAATACACATTTGATGTGCCACTGAGTCTCCTCAGTATATGGGGTTGACTAAAAATAAACTCCCTCGCCCAGTGCTCGTTATGAGTGAACGTGACAAATGGCCTGAGCAGCTGTGTGGCTCATTAATTTGTTTATAATGCTTTTTGGACAACAGTGGCTTTCTTTGGAACAGAATAAATTGTATCAGGCTTTGGCTACACAGACAACACTTGTTAGTAGAATCACTTTGTTTTTGGGCTTTTCACGGGACTTGTTGACAAAATAGAAACATAGCATATCATCGGACCATTTTATGCAATTTTTATAAAACTATTATTGTTAGTTTCTAAACACACCTGAGTATACAGTATTGCTGGACACGGCTGTCATCTGAACAGTGACTAATGTCAGTATTAAAGGTACAAGTTAAACGAATTGTTGTGTGGGTGTGGGTCATGTACTTGGTTAGTGGCCCATTCCCCATTGAGAAACCACTTCCTGTTTACCTTAGTAACCCCGCCCTCGAGAGAGCTCGAACACAGGCCCTTTCTGCCTCATTACAGAGCTGCCTTTTTTTTTAAAACTCAGTTTATTTACCTTCCCGCTCACTACTCTCTCACCACAGACAAAATCTCATGTGTGTACGACTCTCCAGCCACACATGCGCACACGCTGAGCATTGGCCAATGACCACTTAACCCACATGCTCTGTCACTGTCACTCTGTCTTGCTGAATCACTCATAAACATTACCATCTGTTCCTCTTTAGATTTTTGAGCCTCTTTCACACTTCTCTGTGTTTTTCATCCCATTCCATTTCTAATTGTCTTCGTCCACCTTTTCTTGATGCCACTTCTCCATTTTTACTTTCTCTGCTGTAATTGCCTTCTTTTCGCTCCAGCAGTTTTACGGGCACCGACACCTGGCCTGTTGTAAGCTTGCCTTGTTGTTTGCATGTGAAATATTTTTTTTCCTTTGCAGGGATTTTTAAAAAGTCTCCTTTTTCCTCTTTCTTCCTCCCCACCCCTGCCCTCTCTTCCTCTTGGCTGGATTTGGAATGTCCCACACGTGGCAAGTGCAAATTGGGCCCCCCCACCCACCAGCCCTCTACCCAGCAGCTAGAGGAGGGAGGAAAGGGGGACAAGACGAAAGAGAGGAGTGTTGGAAAGAGAGGAGAAGCAGTGAAGACAGCAGCAGCTCTAGCAGTTGTGTTTGAATCAGTCAGGGTCGTAGATGGTGTCTTCGGCACTCTGGACCTGCTGTCGTCACTCTCTCTCTCTTCCTTGATACATATTGTCTCCGGTGTGATTGGTTAGGGAGGTTATCAGGTGTGTCCAGTGTCCACCAGTGGTGATGCAGCTCTCCATGCTGGTCAATGCCAGGTGGTCACTCCACTAGGTCTTTTGGATGACATAGTGGGTTGAGTAGTGTGTTTTGTGCTCAGGCTGCAGAGGCTTTACTTACAGTCTTGGTCTTGTTGCTGTTGCAGGCAGACTCGTCTAGGCCGCACCGCAGTGGATGAGATCAAACGCCACCCCTTCTTCAAGAACGACCAGTGGACCTTTGACAACATCCGAGAGAGTAAGTAGGTGCATGCTTCGGAATCTCCCTTTTTTATTTCAAAGTCTCCAGAGTGCAGGTGCAGATGACCAATTTCTTTCCATATCTGGTAATGTGTGACTTTTTGTTGTTGCCTTCTGCTTCTTATCATCTCCAGCCCATTCCTCTGCAGATCTGTTTTGTTTCCGCCTTAGTTCATAGTTTATTTTCATCTTTTGACCCAATGAGATGGCATATATGGTGCACATGATCTCCACATGCTCCCTGCTCACAGCTTACATTATATGACTGGAGGCTGTGCGGAGTAAATGATGCATGAAACCTGCGGGATAACCAGCTGCATGTGGATTTCACTCATAAGCACAGACAGTTTAAAATATGACAATGTAATGGCCCTAAATTCTTCAGTGGATTAAACATGACATACTAGCTACAGTAGCAGTACATACGCAGACAAAACTGAAGGGCTGATTAAATTAAAAGTATGAATATTTTGTTAAATTATGTCAAGAAACAGATGAAGGTGAAAACAAAGTCTCCTGGTTTAACATTTTGTCCCATTGGTATAAAGCATCAAATTAGCTGAGGCCAACAATGTAATGATTTTGTATATCGTAAAATTATTATAATAATTAGCCTTCATGATGAATGGGCTATTATTATTATTGGCTAATTACACAACTATAGGAGTAATAAGTGGAGTTGTTACATAATAATTGCTGTTCAGTGTAATATAATGCCATTGCACAGAACAAAAATATGTGTATATATATACAGTTTATCACAACGAAGAAAACATCAGTATTCATATACAGCCATAGAAAACAGTTATCTTTATATTAATAATTAGTTTGTCCCTTTAGAATAAATGGTCAAAGGTGTATTAAAGAAGAAAAACAACAGCCAAACTAAAAAAAAAAATATAGTACACATTAACTGATCTGGCTTGAAATAGAAAGTTTAGCATTTAATTATTACAAGGTAGCTTAATTTTCTCTCTTACAGCTTTGTCAAATCTGACAACCTTTAGGAAGCAAGGAAAGAAGTAAAAAGAAGGAAGGAAAAAGGGACGGGGGTATACTAGGAACAGGACCTCTGTGTCTGTGTATAATTGCATGCTGGCTCTTTGCCTCTGCTTCACCTGGCTCTGATTACGACTGCAACTTTTGATGAGAGCCTTGCAGTCTGGAGCATAAAACCACTATTCCACCGTTGCTGTGCTGCTCAGCGCGCTTCACATTTGCACATGCATGTTCTATCTCTCACACACATTCAGTAAAACACACTCAAAAAAAACGATCCTGCCCCCATTTCAGCGTCCACAGAGCTGCGTGTACCTCCTAGCCCCACGTGTCTGTTTAGCAAACTCATTGCCCCCCTGTTGTGTTGCCATGATTAAGGAGGGATATTTTTGTGTTTGGGCTCCATCGAAGATTCTCCATGATTTCCTGATGTGTACAAAGCTTATTAAGCGCTGATTTGGTCGAGGCCAAAAAGTAAGCACCGTGGATGGATGGAGGAGAGGCAGCACCCCCCGTAGCGGCGGGTGGGGCGGGCTGTGTGGACTGGTCTAATGAGAGAGGGCACCCCAGTTTGGAGGCTTACTCCTGCTCTTTCACTCTCACTGTGGCCACGGCTGCCTGTCATTACCCACCCGCTATCAGAGTGCATTCTGGGAAGTCATGCCACAAGGGCCTCCATGGAGGGGACTCTGTCTCTTTCTGTCTCACCACATTTTGCCTTTTTTTTCCACTGCCTCTTCTTTTTTATTTCTTGCTCATTTGTCTTTATCTCTCCCTGTATTTTCTTTGCCAACTTTGAGCCACATTTGTCACACTGACGGCTGTGCTTTGACCTACAGTTAAGGAGCTCTTTGCTCAGAGCCAGAATATCCATAATGGCTGTGCTTATTTTGTAATTAGGAACTGTTTATAGGCTAAAGGACTAACTTAGTTTTATCTTATTGGCCCTTTGACATTTCTGTCTGCCTGTTGTGCAGATTTTTAAAGTACACCTGTTCCTGAGAGAAGAGAGCCAGAGGAGCAAATGTGTAGGTTTTGTTTGTGAAA